ACCAGCTGGAGGTAGCTGTGTTGAGCATTGTAAAGGAACCAGTCCCCCATTTATAACATTGTTCCTATGGCAAAATTGGTACTGAGTTACAACATTTCGACTTTAAGATGCGGTTTTCAGGAACTAATTGTGTTGTAAGTCTGAGGACTGCCTGTACCTTGAAATGTTGCTTGTGGCAGCTACCTTGGAGCAGGCCCTACCAAAATATTTTTCCTTGCTAATTAACTGGGGACCAGACAGATGACAAGGCATCCTAGTTTTCTCTGTTAAATCCAGAATTCTCTGATAAACCCATCCAAAATTCTCTGGTTAAAAACCCCCCAAAATCTGCATTTTTTCCACAAATGCCATTTTATATATATCAATTTATATTCACAATTTTTTATATATATATATAATATATAAAATGGATATATCGAAGTATGAGTTGAACACAGTGTTTTTATGAATATATTTTCCATTTTAAAGCAGTTTGGAAGTCTACCAGTGCCTCAATCATTATCATAAATTCTAAATACCTATAGATTTTGGCATTTGATTTTGGTTTTTTTATTATGGAAAATCAGAGCTCCCCCTGCCCCCTTCACTCGCCAGGATGTGGGTCCAGCTGTGGCTGTCCCTCCCGCCTCTTCGTGATGCTGAGCAGCCCTGATACACTGGTGCTCTCTGCCCCTGCCCGTGCCCCTCACTCCTGACCTGCAGCCCCCTGGCCCTGTAGGTGCCCTGTGCCATGCTGTAGGTGCCTCCCCCATGTGTTGCCTATGGACCTGATGCCTCGCCACCCGCTAGACTTGCTGGCAGGAGCTGCTCTCCACCACGCTGCCTGGCTGCATTGCTGGTCATCTCCATGTGTGCGTGCGCATGCATGTGTCCCCTTGCCTCTGCTCGCCTTCCTCCTGCTCCCCCACCCCAGCCTCACGCAGCTCCGTGCAGGCTGCAAGGGGAACCCTGCGGTTTCCAGGTGGTTCTCCCTTAAAAGCTGCGTTTTTCCATGGGAAATGGAAAACCCAGATCCCTGCTAATGACAAGGAAGAAAATACCCAGGCTGGAAATGTTATCATTTCTTTTTAGAGGAGGTAATCTTAATTAAGAGGATTCAGGTGCTTAAAACCAAGATAAATTATAGAGAATAACATCATAGTCCTAAATGATTGGTGGTGGTATGTATTGTATGATGGTGCTGTTTATTATAAAAGTCTATTATGAAAACCTATGCAATTAAGAGCATAAAGATGGCTTAATGCACATCGTGTCTAAGGCTGATGGTATGTAGTTGTATTTTGTCTTTCAAATCCTTTTAAATTTGTCCAGAAAATAGAATGGAAATGCATTAATCTTGCCTTATGTGCTCTTAGTATGACACTTTGCTACTATTCGGGGGTAAAATGCAAGAGGGCATTTGCAGGAGTACATGAATTTCTATCTGGTTTGTTTTTAGAGAATATTGAACCCTTAGTATTGAAAGGCCCAGGCTACCCATTACTAAACAGAGCTCTTTTAATAATTTTTCAACTGTTAGCTTTTCAAATCCGGCGTTGGTGTGTTTCGAAGCACTCCTTCCTCTGTTGGCACGCTCCCGTGCTCCTCAAACTCTGGAATTAAAAAAATAAAAAATAAAAATACACTTGTAATGACAATATATATTTAGGACTCAGAGACGCCAACAGCAGATTTTCCGTGGTCTTCATAGGGTTATGTGCATGTGTTTATGGTCTGAAGTTATAGCATGAAGTTCATCTCCAAGCATTAGGTAAGCACTGCTCAAGTGCCTTTGGACCCAATGTTGATTCCTGGAAGCTACAGATGGGTCCTGTGCTGCTCTGCAGGGGAATAAATCCCACCCAGGGTGGATCAGTCTAAGGATTTGCTTCATGCCCTGGAAGAGAGCTCTAGGGAAGAGGTCATGGGGAAATGATTATAAGGACTCCTATAGGAATTGGTGGGAGTCCTAGCCTGAGTGCAGGAAGTTTATGTGAATTAGGTCGGCAGGGATACCATTTTTATATAGCGTTCTCCATGCAGGTTGTGGCATTAAATAACAGCATTATGAACTTGTGCAGCTGGGAAGTCTAGGATACTCCCAAAATATTTCATTATAGCGCCTCAGCTCATAAGGCAAAGGTGTTTAAATGCACACCAAAGAATATTTTTATTCCTTGTGCAGATGCAGGCTTCTCTACCCTGTCCTTGTCTGCTGATGTTCAAGTCTGAGAAGATTTGCCATTGTCTCTTCTTTTCTCCCCCCCCCCCCCTTTTTTCTCCCACTTTGCAAAAGATACCTATTAAGGAGTGAAATCTTGCCTTGCTGTAACATCTGGAGCTATTATTGCATTACCATTGGCATTAAAAAACTGCTGATTAACAGCTGTAACAAGAAGATTCAACTGTCTAATGGCAGAGAGCTTGTTACTGTATGTATTGATCCAGATCCCAATGCACAATGAAGAGCTAATGCCTCCTCACTAAATGTGACAATCCCCTGTCAGGTCTCTAATACAGCCAAGCGTTAGGAAATGTTCAAAATGGGCTTTGGGTCTGTTCTGCACTGGGCAGTCCTGACATTTGAACTTTCTTTAACGTAACCCTTGCATTCACAAGAGGTACCAGCAGTGGCCAGTTGAGAGGAGAGCCTGACACCACTGAATTCCCATGCACCATCTCATTGCCTGCCTTGGGGCTGGGATTTCATTTCCTGGGCCTGATCCAACGCTCGCTCAAGCGGAGCCTTGCTGTTGAGTTCACTGGCTGTTGAGTCAGGTTTATGAGGATGTTTTCCGCACTGATATGCAATGTCCTCTTATCAGAGGCTTGATTATTTTTTTTTTTTTTTTTTTTTTTTTTTTTTTTTGTTTTTTTTTT